TAATCAACACCTCGACAGGTGTTGATGACGACTCCATACATTAACTGCAAGCAGTCAAGATCGACTTCATGCAGCCCAGATCGACTTCATGCAGTTAATGCGTGAAGTTGATTACGACTGCACGCGTTAACTGCAAACATGCAGTTAATCTGCTGGCAGCCTTAAGCCAATGGAATTTTGAATACTTTTATTTACAATACCGAGCCGTAAACGTTACACATGGCGCTTTGAAAAAAGATCTTCGGCCACAATCGGCTACCTTCGGATATATCTGCCAAATATATCACACAATATGAATGACAGAGACCACGGTCTACGCCGAAATCAGTAATTTGTTTTCTAAGCACTAATGTTTAATATACGGCCAGATACAGATAGTTTTTTTTTTTCATTTAGACTAGAAGTTTAATATTCTTACATCAACTCGTTTTCTAAGCGTGATCGGCGACGTGTACACTCTTCCTTCGAGACCTTTAGGCGCCATCTCCTCTCGAACTACAGCTGTAGCCTGAAAAACAAATTATTACTATTATCATATTCATTTATTGTGTTTATTTCTAGTTTTGGATCGAGGAAAATCTACGCCAGCAGTAACCATTGGGGAGCTGGATCGTGTTTTCGTTAACTTAAATTCAAAGGGGCTAATACAATTCGCACAATACTTTCTTTGGGTGCTGAATTTGACAATTTTGAGCCACGAACCTTTACATTTTAAAACCTAAAAATTAAATTTAAAAAATATCAAAGATTTATTGTTATTCGATATTATACAGCAATAAAAAAATGGGCACATGCCAGCTATACTTAGTTCGAATTTATCACGCAGAGACTCCGTCTTAATTAACAATTTAGAAAAAATTAAAATTAACACCAATTCGTCATTCCAGTGTCAGTTTTAATTTCTCAAGTTGGCAGTGTTCTAGTTCATTGTTACTAGTATTAATAATAATGTGAGTGTGGGAGAGGCAATTGCCACGGTAGCCTCCTGGTTTGGTCTACCGCCTCTCAAGCAGATGGCCGTGGGTTTGAATCCGTGTTCGCACCATTGAGTTATTTGGAATTTATGTGCGATATTTAATTTGAAGTTTTTGATAAGGAATAATTGTGAGGAAACCTGAACGTCGAAAAATGTGGAAACCATTGGAAAACGTGTGAAGTCCTCAACACCTATTGGGCCAGAGTGGCGGACTATGGCCTAAACCCTCGCCTGAGGAGCGACCCATATCCAGTACTGGGAGGTATGAATAGGTTGATGACGTAGAAGAGGTGCAACATTGCCAATTTGCAACAACACTATTGTGTTAAAATTCTAACCTGTGAGATAGTCCTGAAAGCAGAGGTCTGCCCAAGTTTCGATCCTGTATCCGCTATGCTCTCAGCTGCACCTTTGGCTGTCTTTGATAAATCTTCACTTATTTTTCCTATAAAAATTAAAAATTACACAATAGGAAATGAAACTGTTTTTCCGGATTGAAATCGCGTATATTTGTTTTTTCAAACGAACGAATACGTGTTTACGGCGCCGTAGAGATTCGAGAAGCAATTGTATTCAAACGCGCGAGAAAGCGATACAGACACGCGCGAGAAGCGCGTTCGAAGCTGGTCTATATCGCATCGCATTTCCCATTTTACGCGCCTTTGAATTTCAAAAAGCCGAACGAGCGAAGCGAGCGTGTCACGGTTGCGGCCAGCAAGTGCCAGAATCCCATTTGCTAGCGTTTTCGAACATGTTTTCAGGTCAAATTATATTATAATTAATATAATATTAGTATACAAATATAATCAACATTTACTTAGTTGTAAAAATAAGTATCTAAATTTTATTTTTAATGCTCAATTGTCTTAGTTTTGAGGCCCAACATAAAACTATCAAAGTTAATTTATATACTTCAAACATTTTTTGCATAGGTCAGAACAGATTAAAATGTCCATCGATTTAATTTGTCTCAGAGAAAGAGGATCAATCATCAAAAAAGATGACAATTTAGATTTTTTCCCTGCTGTTTTCGGAAATGTAAAATAATCATTTAAATACATGGCATTATATAGTAACAAGCACAGTAGCTGTAGTATAAGGGACAACAAGGCAATGGCTACTTTATAATACCAAACTTAAACTGACCAGCTTTCTTAGCAATTTCAGTCTTGCTGGCCTCCTCCAGTACATGTTCCATCTTGCCTTTAATGCCTTCTAAAGTATCCTTTAGCATTTCAGAACTCTTTGATGCTTCTGATTCGACTGCATGGAACTTTTTTCGCGCTGCCTGCAATGTGGAAACATTTTGTGTTAGATGTGTATGTTATATGTTCACATAATATAGAATAACAATATCAGTTGATTAAATGAATTGTGAAAAAAAAAATGAGGCAATTCAGATTGTTAAAAATGGTTTAACTTCACCTGCAGTGCTTCAGAGTTTTCCAATTTCTGTGCTTCTTCTCTGAATTTCTTGATGCTCTCCCTCATCTCTTTATTCTTTGCAATATCTTCTTTAATATTCTCAATGATGGAGGAGAAGAAGCCCTTTCTCGCCGAGTAGTGCCGGCATTCTGGTACTCTGTACTATAAATGGAAATTATTCATAATGTAATTATTTTTTCTCTCTCTAAATGTCACGTGTACGAAAATTCTGTCAATCCTTTTCACACAAGGTAAAATAAAAAGTATAACTATTTTTATTAATTTTGTATTTTATTTTGAATTATTCTGGATTTTCAGAGAGAGGTACTATCCACTGTATATGTATTACTTTCTTGAAATTTAGGTTAATTCTGCCTATTTCAATTTCTGGTATAATATAGATATAACATAAAACCACAATAATTCTGGTCCTTATGTCATGTGTATATGAATCTACAACAATGGTCCCCGAAAGTAGTTAACAATAACACTTTTAATATAAAACTTACAAAATACTTGGACCAAAAATGTTTCACATGCTGCAAGAACTTTTGTAGAACACAGACAAGATGTAAATAATATCAATAAATAAAATTATTACATGGCATTTGAAAGCTGTTATAGCAGTTGCAAGAAGTATGTATATTTTAATTATGTAAGTGTTAACTTATATTATTATTATTGTATATTGTCATTTACTTAATTTAACATTAAATTTGATATTGCATTTAATATAATTTTTATACAATTTAGCTCAATAAGAATGAAATTCATTTTAAATTAAACATAAATTGTGGTCTTGCAAAGTTACATGGTTGTACTTTATTATTATTTTAATATGAAATAATCTTCATCCTAGAGCACAATTTTTTTTAATAGAGCTAATAAAATTACAAATAATATTCATTAATGAATGGTTACCATGCTGCTCTGCCACACAGAGGTCCCAGGCTTGATTCCCGGTTTGGCCGAGAGAAATATTTGTAAGACCTACATTTTTTCTCTTGTTTTGGGTGTAATTTATGGTTGTCTATGTGTGTGTGTCCATGACACTCGCAATAGGCTGTCCCTAGCACATGCATTATTTAGAGAAATGGGATATTGTCACAAGTCAAAATAGTATTGCTAAGTATATAAGCTTCTTAGGTTTTCGCGATTGTTACACATAGGAAATGAAACTATTTTTCTGGATTTAAATACAGGTCCCATGGTCACGGTTGACTGATGGGACCTGTAAAGGGCCCGAAACGTCGGTTTATTTGAAAAAACAAATATATGAGATTTAAATCCGGAAAAATAGTTTCATTTCCTAAGTATATAAGCGTCGACAAATTGAAACTTATACAAATGAAACAAAGAATTTAAAAACATGGGCACAACATATACCTCACAGCCTGGAGACCATATTTTATGTAATTTATGTGCTGAAGTATATTTACAGATGCCATTACATTATTTTGTAGTATAAAAATTATTCAGATATCGAGGCCAAGATCTTCCAAATTTAAATATACAACAAATATAAAATGAAATTAGTTTTCATTCAGGGATAAAGAACCTGCAATCTTATTTTGTTAAGTGTTCTTGCACAATCACAATCAGATCTTACGCTGATAATCATAAGAACCATCTTAGCTTAAAATTATTATGTGAATAGCCATGATATGACTTATTAGTTTATTAATGGCTTGTGTTGTTCATAACAATGATTGTGCAAATATTGTACGGAAACGTTATGTTTATTACAGAATATTCCTTTTTTCAATTTGAACGGTTATTGATAAGTACCTGATCATATCTGACAGCGGTCATGGGAGTTTTTAAATTCACTGGCAAGTTTCCAGGCAAGGCACATTTCCACCGCGCTGGATTATACAGCAATTGTCGACAGGCGTGCTGGAACACCAAAAAAATATCGTAACCATGGGTTCACAAGGGCATTACTTATAACCTAACTTATGGTTATAAAATCCATTTCACCATTTTACGGTGAAAACACGTATATATGACACGGAATAAGCTTGCGTACTATATCCAGCTTATTAATCTATTGTAATTTTAGTAATGTATCTTGAATATCGAATTTTAAGAACAAATCGACGAAAACTCATTCATAATCCGTGCGATCTTCTGTCAAAAAGAGCTAATAGGTTTTCATTGCGTTTAGAAACAAACGCAAAATCTGACATTAATATTGTAACCAATGGGTGCTACAGATTGTAGATACCATTCAGTGCTTGGCCAATTATAATGAGTTAATTTGCTAATTGGCCCTATGGGCTTACTTACTGTTGGTAATACTCAGAAAAATAAAATGAAATTTTTCCGCTAAGTTATCTAAAAAATTGGAAAAATATAATTCAAAGACTCATATTATGTTCTACGTTCAGATACAATCTTTTGAAGTTTCATTTAGCATTAATCATTGACTTACAATTATATGGACGTCAGGTTCGCGCTAAAAAGTGTCCAAACTTATAGGGCGTTAAAATCGTATACAGAGCGTCATTCACGCTCTAGTCTTCGTTCGTTCGACTGACAGCGAAGCAAGCAAAATTAGACAGTACTGCGATGACATTACAATTTAAATTCAACGTTTTAGCTTTTTCATATTCCTTTAAATGTCACTACGTTTAAATAGGTTGACTTGGGACATTTTTTTCGTGGTTTTTGTATTAAACCCGTCGTCCATATAATTGTAAGTCAATGGCATTAATTATAAAATAAAATTGTATAGCTAAAAACAAGTCAAAATAAGGCTGGTCACATGCAGTCAGCGTTTCGAAATTCCATTACAGAATTCTGTTTCGGAATCTCGAAATCATGGATTTATAACACACATACAATACTACACCGTTTAAAATTCCGAACTGAAATACATATATGTGTATGACGTGTTATACAGAATCTCGAACCGAAATTATGAGGCCCGTGTAAAACGAAATTTAAAATGATTGAAAAAACAGTAAAACAAAATAACAGGCGAAAAAATCTTTATAATGGTTCTTTTTCTTACTTTTGACAGGTGTCAACTGTCAAACGTGGAAAGTATTCGGAAAATAAACCCAAATACACATAAAAAAAAAACAGGTTGATAATAAAATAACTGTCTATTTTAAAGGAGTATACTGCATAACGGAAATAAAAAATACGTGTTCGGTTTTTTTTTCAAATACTTAATAATAATAATAAATAAGTTATAACGCCTCAAAGTTGACACTCGACAATTAACAGACACCGTTACAACACACACAACGCTGTGTGGCAGTGGGTGGAGTCAGCGCGCGAGTTTATGTATTTGACAGACAACAAAGTACTAAACTAACGTTCGTTGCGACGACGTGCGGACGACGCCTAGGCGTCTATACAACTCGGCGCCGATCGTTCAATTTTATTTGCTATTTTGAAGTAAACTTGCGTTAGAAATTATTGGGGAATATCAACATGAAAAAAATTAGAAATTTTTTTGTTTAATGTGTTTTATTACTGAATCTTATGCACAGGAAAAAAAAATGTGATTTTTTATCAACTTATATACTTATCGAGTTCTTAGGTTTTCGCGATTGTTACACATAGCAAATGAAACTATTTATGCGGATTTAAATCGCGTATATTTGTTTCTTCAAACAAACCAAAACAAATATAGGTTTGTTTGAAAAAACAAATATACGCGATTTAAATCCGGAAAAATAGTTTCATTTCCTAATTTGTATATTCTTATGAAAAAATATAAATTTTTCAAAATTGATATTTTTTTCATACACTCAAATTGAAATCGTTAAATACCTAACGAAAGTTACTTGACAAAATTATATAAATTATTATTATCAACGTTATTTCCATTCGTTAAACCTTACCAATTTCCTAGCCTAAAATTCATGCTGTCAATAATATCTCGCCATACAAAAGTATGAGTTCTCATCATATTATTGTTACAGACAGCACTTCATTTTAAAAGTAAGAAAAGGTTTTCAATTAAGATTTTTGGCAAATAGCACTTTGATATCTTCAGTCATATAAATTCCTTATAACGAATGATACAATGCCTGAACCTAATAAAAGTTTAGTTCATATTTGTAAAACAACAACATTTTTTTTTTCCTTATCTTGAAATTATTTATAATCTATTACAACTATGTGAGTCGTAGAATTTCTTCCAATTATCAGAAAATCGCGATGATACTATTTCAATTAGTAAAAAAAGACTTTTTTTATTAAAGGATTTTTTTTTGTAATATCAAGGGACGGAACGAACAAGTCGTGCGCCTGATGGATAGCTACACGCCTGTCCATAACAGTTGCAGTTTCAGTCTGAGCTTTAAATCGCAAAGATATAAGGGGCACTGCCACTGCGCCTGTCGCCCTGAGACATAAGTTGACAAGTCTCATGTGTCTGTAATTTCACCAAATAATTAGTAAAAAAAGGTTGAAATAATTTTTTTCTGAAAAACGCATCATTAGAAGTATGGTAAGGTAATACCATAATAACGCAACACTTTACGATTCGCTCTGGACCTTTTGGAGGGAAAAGTGTCGTTTTTATTTTGACTTTCTTTTTGATTTTGTGAAATCTAGTATAAAGTGGAATAGGATAGTGCTATTGTGCCTTAATCGAAGATTAAAACGCGAAATTATACGAATCTCGAACTAAAATACCCGTATCGGCCCGTTCTAAGGAATCCCAAGTCAATCCAAGCACGCCGCCTCAAATTGCCTATCCTCTTTGTGGCGGCCATATTTACAGAAAAACTTATTTTTATGTTGTCGGCTGAAGGTCTTTGTTTCCATATCCAGAAATAAATTTAAAAAAGAAAAAGAAAAAAGCAACACTTTACATTAAAACTATTTTTTAAATGTTCAATGAAAACAAGCTTCTGTATTCCATAGATAAAAAATTAAAAAGTGTCTTATTTCCTGTTGATGACAATTTTCAATTTTTGATTTTCAGGAGATTTTTTGCTTGTTTTGAGTAAAAACCAAACTGTAAATTTTCGTTACTGCTCTGCTTCAAAAGGACTAGAAATGCTATATTTCCTTAGCCTAAATTCTCATTTTATAAAATATGTGATATTCGTTGTTTCAAGTTTAAAAAAATTCTCGCTTCCGGTGTGAAGGCAGGCAGAAACATAAGAAAGTGTACATTTTCATTTATTTTCTGTCGTCATTTTTAGCCACGGAAACGTGTTGCGTTTGATGAAAATAATTTTATTTTATGTTCGTTCGTAGTCGATCGTTAACCGTGTATTAGCTCGTGTAATCCGCTACATAGGGTGAAAGATCATCGCTTCGTCATAGACAGTGGAAGGTGGGTACCGTAGGTAATATTGGATATCTTCATTGCATATTTACATAGTCTATGAGGTACTGTAGAATCGTGGTAACCACGTTTTCGCCAGCTGGTGCGTACGTAGTACACCTAAGGGTTGATTAGGGTGGTTTATGAGTCGTTCGTAGTGATTGTAGTGTAGTGTTTATAGGTTATGTATGGTAGTGCCATGGTATACTCAGGAAGCGCGTTCTGTGTCGTGCAGGAGTTGCCGGCGCGTGGCCAGTTTCGCTGAGCAGCTCAGTTGCAGCCAGGACCATAATTCGTCGCGACCTGGGGCTCTCGTCCATCGGGGCGTTACCGTTTTATATGACTTTAGCAAGATATACAGGTAAGTGTTACAATGCACTTGTATTTATTACGCGAAACTTCACCGACGATGTCACTTAGACATTTTTACCTTTGCCAACTCTTTCCATTATTATCTTCGCTCACATTGGTATACTATCTATTTTAATTACTTTTTAAAGTATGTCTATTCACCTTATAGTCTCACTTAATGTTATATCTTGAAATGGGAAGACTTGGTCAGAAATTCATGTCTATTTTCAAAAATATTAAGTCTTCTTTTAAATCTATTAAACATCTTTCAAATTACGTATTAGTTATCTTATTGTGTACAAGCCTGATTATTTTTAATAACATTATCCAATAGTATGTGATTATCATGAATTATATTATCCAATAATATGTAATGGATTTCACACTAATGACTCAATGTTAGGTCATATATAACTTACTTTACGCTATTGTTTTTCTTCTTTTAAAATATAAATATTTGATACATTCAGATCAGCAAATAGATTTCCATCGCAGTATTGTCATCTAAATAATTATAATGTACTTGTTGCTCTAACAAATGAAGATTCAGTTACGGCACAAGAATAGCATTAAAAACTTTTTGTTAAATTTGATGAGCTTTTGCTGTCCTGATGTTTTATTCCCATACAATGAAATGACCCTTACTAGAAACTGAGTCAATCTGAATATAAAAAAAATTTTCACTTATTTATTTTTATGGATAACTCGCACTTGACCTAAAATTTAGTACATGTCAAATTTGTTTTCACGCAAAAAGACCTGATAACCATTAGGTCCTAAGACAGTTCCCTTTGCCTTCTACAGCTTCGTATGTCTCCAGATTTGTCCCAGTTAAAAAAAAAACACAGCATAGAAGTGTGGTTGGTTTATTGAATAATCAACACACACTAGAGCTCTATTGGGTAATGAAACATTGCAATGTGGGAATTCTTACAGAGGTTTTCAGCATAACTTTGGCTATAATACGGTCCTTTGCTTTATTAAAGCAAAACTTGAGACAGCATGTAATGTCTTGTTAAAATTAATGAACATTTGTATAATCTTTTATTAGATTATTAATTAAAATAACTACTATGTTGGCTTTTACAATCATGACTTGCCAAGTTCTAATATGCCAAATCATCACTGGCAAGATATGGGTCACCCTCAAAACATTTAGAAGTCAAATAATGGTTTTGGTTATCAATTTTAAACTCTTGTTGGTAAGCACAATGTTGCATATTGATAATTTATCTAAAATATTATAACCCTCCGTAAATATATATTCCTCCTGTCAGGGGCAGGATAGTTTCCTACTTCCACTTGCTACATTTCTGATAAATTGTTTTCTCTTCTGTCATTTGCAAAATACAAATTTTTGTTGTGATTGAAAAATTTTCATTTCATTTAATAGATAAGAAATACAAAAAATTGCTATTAATCAGTTCTTAGACTATGGAAACCAAGGGACATGTTATATTGACATATATAAATCAGACGTTATACATACAGGATGCATTTAGACAGTGAAAACATAAACATTTTATTGTCTTTGTTTAACTACTGCGTGCCGTCGTAAGCCAAAAGAGATAGCACTACATTGATTTATGTCAAACACGGGAATCAAAAATACGTAACTTCATCTTAAATGCCAACTGTTCTCATTTTACCATTTTTGCAGAACCCTTTGACATCCGTATCCGGTTGTCAAAGGGTATATTATGATACAACACTAAATTCGCCATTTGTGGTGGACATTTTTGGTTTAGGTAGGGACATTTATTCCGTAGATAAGGCAGCTCTTTTCCTTTATGTTTTTCCATCCTCTAAGAACCAGTTACCCCTAGTATCTCTTTGTCATTCTGATGATAAAAAAAAGTGGGGGAAATGTAACTTTTTATCCCATCAATGGCATACACTATAATGCTTGCCATTGTGATGAAAGAATTTGCTAATCGGCGTAAGGTACTCGCAGACTGTTGTCCTAACCTGGCCTTGCTCACTGCCTACAGGAAAGGAATGATACGTCGTGCGAGGAGACTCCTTTCGTGTACTTAATACTCATTGTGACTTATAAGATCTAGTTCTCTCCTGTTCTTACACGCCTGTACCGCCACTCACTTGAGATTGGTGTAGTTCCCAGGTCGTGGAAGCTTGCAAACATGAAACCTATGCCGAAAAAGGGAAGGGCAGGGAGCAGAATACGAGCGGACAGCGATAAATAAAACGTGACGACAATAGGAGCTGCGACAATCTGTCGTCACGTTTTTATCTTGACTTTTTTTATCGTCTGACGACTGTCGTTTTAGCTGTTCCCACTGTGACGATAGTTTGTCGTTGTAACGATAAACGATCGTGAACGACAGTTAATACTGTCGTGCTATATGTGAACAACATCATTTAATTATACAAGCCACGACACTGTAAACTGCACGACACGTCAATTTTTTATTTATCTATCTATACATAGAGTTCTTAGGTTTTCGCGATTGTTACAAATAGGAAATGAAACTATTTTTCCGGATCTAAATCGAAAAAATATTTTCATTATCTATCTGTACGTCAGAATACCTAAACTACTACACTGTTAGATATAATAACGTAGTAGGTATAGTAAAATACTGACTTAACACTAGTTTTTTTTTTAAATATAAGTGCGCATTTGACCTCCACACATTAGACAAGCTCACCCGATGGAAAGTGACGATGAGGTCGACGACGGAGCATGCACACCTAAATAATTCACTCTCGCCTTGAAAAGGCCCAAGTTATAACGTTCAGGGAACAAGTCTGCAGGCAGGGAATTCCACTCCATAGCCGTACGCCATATAAAAGTGGAAGTACAACGCTTCGTGCGAATCTTTAGAATACTCACAACATAGGGGTGGAACTCAAGCCTACGCCTAGTCCCCCGGTAATGGAAAGGGGAAGGCGGAATTAAATCGTGTAATTCCATTGCACACTCTCCGTGATATATCCTGTAAAATACCGATAAGCAGGCAACTTTACGGCGGTGTTCAAGGCTCTGCAGCTTCGCCTCCACTAATTCTGAGTCACCTATAAGCCTTTAGGCACGATTGTCAATTGAATCCAAAGTGGCCAGTTGATATGTATCAGAGCCAGCCCAAAGGTGGCAGCAGTAGTCCATGCACGACCGGACTTGTGCTTGGTACAGTTAAAGCAGTCCATGCACGACCGGACTTGTGCTTGGTACAGTTAAAGCAACTGTCCCGGTGTAAAGTAACGCCTCACCCTGGAAAGGATGCCAAGCTTCCTTGTTGCATTTTTGGCCATGGATGCAATGTATCTGTCGAAGTTCAAATTGGACGACAGGTCCATTCCAAGTAGCTCGAGACAGTCGGCTATCGGTATGGATATATCACGAAAGACGCGAGTCAGCTCAAAGTGACTCCGATTTGTGGAGAATAGATACGCCTGCGTTTTGGTAGCGTTATATTTGACAAGATTGGCATCGCCCCAATCGGAGACTGCCTGGAGTGTCAAATCAGAACGGCTAACCATGAACTCTCGACAAGACTGGATTTATTCTCCACTAACCCTTGCATTGGTCAAGTACCTATCTACAACTGTGCTGTCGTCAGCATACGCAAAGGTACCCGGAATTAACATATCATTGATATGCAGGAGAGAGAGAGAGAGACAGAGTTGCAGACAGTACGGAACTCTGAGGAACTCAGGCATCTATCGCTATGTGTTCGAAAGAGTAGCCTTCTAAGATCACTCGAATCGAACGTTCGCTCAAGAAATCCAAGATCCAATTGCAAAGGTCAGTAGGAAGCCCATAAGAGGGAAGCTTGCTTAAAAGGCTTACGTGCCAGACCCTGTCAAAGGCTTTAGAAATGTCCGAAGACACTGCAAGTGTTTCGCCTTGCTTTTCAATAACCTCGCTCCATTTGTGACAGGCATACACAAGATCCCCAGTAGATCGCCCTCGTCGGAATACGTATTGGCGACCACTGAGGAGTTACGACAGGAGACGGTTGTTGAGCACACGTTCCATAGTCTTGAAGAATATGGAAGTGACTCAGATAGGTCTATGGTTGACAGGGTCAGCTCTGCTTCCCTTTTTCGGCACAGGTTTTATGTTTGCAAGCTTCCACGACCTGGGAACTACACCAATCGCAAGTGAGAGGCGGTACAGGCTACACCGTGACGATAATAGGAGCTGCGACAATCTGTCGTCACGTTTTTATCTTGACTTTTTTTATCGTCTGACGACTGTCGTTTTAGCTGTTCCCACTGTGACGATAGTTTGTCGTTGTAACGATAAAAAATCGTGAACGACGGTTAATACTGTCGTGCTATATGTGAACAACTTCATTTAATTATACAAGTCACGACACTGTAAACTGCACGACAATCTGTCGTCACGACATAGTGGGAACGCGCCCTAAGCCTGGTGTTAAACGACACGCCTGTCCGTACTCAGAGCTTTAAATGGCAAAGATCTGAGGGGCACTGCCACTGCGCCCGTTACTCTGAGACACAAGTCCCAAGTGTCTGTAATTTTACTAGCTCCCTTACCCTTCAAAAGCGGAATCCAGTAATGCTCACATTACTGCTTGGCGGCAGAAATAGTGTAACACTACTTCCTTAGACGATCTCTTTGAAAAGGAGCTCTACTGCTATACAAATTTTTATTTTATTTTGTTTTTCTTGACAATCCACGATTTCTGAGGACTTAAAAAAAATCCTTTTACATGTTAGAATATGCATTTTCGTAGATAGCTATCCGATTGTTCCGTATATGAGTACAACTTCAAATTTGCATAACAATAGCGAAATTACACCATTTCACTAAATCTATTCACAAACAACTTTGCTTACTTGTACGTAAAAAGATATACTACGAAACTCAGTTGCTCGTGTACCAATGACTATACGGTACTAATGGCGTATATTTAACCCAAATTATAATTCTATCTTATTAAAACTATCCAAAGTTGACCATTATTGACCGCGAGTGAAACCGATTTAATGAAAATTATACTGTAAGACCCTGTCCTTTGA